TGCAGCAGGAGAATTTTCAGAGAAAGAGCCTGGTAACCTGCTGCACTCGGACCAGTTACTGATAGGGTTGAACAATCCGTTTTATCCGTCTCACGTCCATTTGCGCGTCACTGTTGACGGGTTTGCTGCAGGAGCACAATAGAGAACTAAAACGTCTAAATAGTTTTTGTCACGTATTCTAATTTTCTCCGTTCTCGTTCGACAGCTAGAACATTCTTTGATGATGGACGATTCAAGTTATCGTTCTTCCACTTTCGATGGAATTCTTTAGAGACAATTTGTTTTGCTAGGCACACTCTCTGTTGAAGTAGTCGCATCAGTTATTTCCCTTTTCTACCTCGGAAAAATTTTCTTATACATTTAGCGCCTCCAGTACCAGGGCCTTATAGAGGAAAGGGGGAAATCGTGAGCGCAGAAGAACCTTTAAAAATTCTAGCAGCTATTCCAGCATTTTTGGAATCAATAAAGCACGTTGGTCTTTTAAAATCATTGCATCCGTAAAAAATTGCGAAGGTCATGTGTTTCCAGCAGGGAATTTTCAAAGAGCAATTCTGTTACCTTGTTGAAGTCGGACCAGCTAGTCATGAAACTTCAAAAAATTGGTTTTGTTTGTCTCACGTCTATTTGAGCATTACTGCTGGCGGGTTTGCTGTAGGAGTATAGCAGAGGACTAAAACGTCTGAATATTTTTCGTTATAAACTATTTTCTTCTCTGTTCCAGCTTGGTAGCTAGACCACTCTGTTGTGTTTCGCATAACATAGTCTTCGAATTTGGCGAGAGCGATTTATTGTCATAACTGGGGCTAGTGAGAACTTGTTCTACCTTTATTGTTTAATGATGTCTGTGGTAACAAAAAGCTTTGTAGCCGTATTCTCATACGGCTTAAAGCTGTTGCGCTGCTGTGACGTCTTTAGGTGTGAGTACCTAGACGAGAATGTTTTCTGTACTAATTTCAATAACAGTGAGTTCAGGTCTCGTATATGCTGGAAATTAGATTTTTTGAAATATAATTCTCTCGGGTTTTTATATATGCTATCTTTTTTTTGACAGTAGTAATTTTTTGGTGTTATTGATGTTAAAGATGTAAAAAGTAAGGAAACTTACGCCGATGATATTTGTTGTTGGTTCAGAAGCGAACTGTAATTAGTTGTTTGCGATCAACAGCGGTCGCATCAGAAAGTGTGCTAGCGTAGCTAATTTTTTTTGTATGATTACCCGATTAATTTTCTTTGCAGGAAATTGCAGGAGCAGCATAGTTGTGAAGCACTCTCTTCTGTTGCTAGGTTTCAAAAGGTCAATTTTGTCGCTGTTATTAATTGAAAATTCTTGTTTTCATTTGTTATCTTTCTCACTGTACGACGGTGATTGGAGCTCTGATCTAGTGCTGATAGATGTATCCTGTAGGATATATACGTTTGGCTGAATGTGTGGTTTACCGAATGTCAGAATCTTGTATGAACTCAATTAATGGTCAACAATCAGTGATGCATAAAGCAAACAGTTCAATAAATTTACCAACAAAGATGGCAAAAAATTTTTTTGAAAAGATCAGTAATGAAGTATCAATTACAATATTTGTCATTTTACTCTAAGACTACTTGGTACAAATAATGTTTAAATGTAGATCAGTTACAAATTTAGTGTTCTACTAAACAAAGAAAACTTTTTTAAAAATTATTATTGATTTATTTAACTCATAGATATCGTATAAACTAGGAATATTGATAGATGT